TTGAACCCACAGGCACCGCCCCACCCCCCAGCAAGGCAGCCACAGCCGGTGGGCTTTCCCCCAACACTGAACTACCCCAGTTTCCTGGAGAGACAGGAAGGATGAGCAGGGTCTCGCTCTTCCAGAAAGGGCCAGCTCACCCGGCAAACTCCAGGGAGAGTAGAAAAGGCCGTTTTGCAGCCGGACAATCCTGTTTCAAATCGTGGTTCTTCCATTCGCTAAAAAGCCCCATCTGGGGAGCCTGGATGACCCCTAAGGGCTTCCACTGATTTACTGGGAAGGCAATCCTTCAGAGGGTCATTCTGCAGTTTGAAAGGCATGGTTCTGCACACTGCCTGGCAAATAGCGAGCACTGGAGAAAATAAATAAAATTAGCACCTTCTGTCTGGTAGCCTCCGCCACCAAGAACTAAGCATCTCCCATGTGATTGAGTGGGGCTCTGAGAGTGGCCCTAACTGGCCCCGACCCCAGCTGTGGAGCTGCTGTCCTAAGCCTCCTCCCTCCTCCATCTCAGTCTCCAAGGGTCCAGGATGCAGGAAGAGCCTTTCTTGTTATTTTTCTCCTCCAATTTGCTGTTAATGCTCCGAGGGCGGGAAGGCGTCTTGCCTCTAATTGCAGCTGTCACCCCCCATCAGGCGGAGGGGAGCTCAGCCCGGAGGGGCGGAGGGAGGAGACAGGGAGGGCTCGCAGGGCGGGCCCGGCCCAAACAGAGAGCCACATTGTCTCTTCCCAGCCAGCGGGCGTTCCCGGCGGGCCGGGAGCCCGGCAGCTCCCCGGGGAGCGCGGAAGGCCACGTGCGCCCCTCCAGGAAAGCTCTAGGCGCCCCGGGCTCGGAGCGGAGCTGCCGCCCGCCCGGCCCTTCCCCTTCCCCGCCGCCGCCGCCGCCGGTCTGGTCCGGCGAGACGGGGGCCTCCGCGTCCAAGACGGAGGGAGGCCGCGGGGGTGAGGCTGGGAATCCAAAAATAGGGGCGCGATTCGAAGGGGCGCACCTTCGCCTTGCTGGGGGGCCTCCGTGGGCTGTGTCCAAGCGCGGGTTCGGTGCTGGAGGAGGGGTGCTGGGGAAGGAGCGCGTGTGACTCCAACGCCCAGCGGCTGCCCTTCCCGCCAGCCCTGCACTGGCCTGCCTCCTGCCCGCAGGCGGCATATCTAGGCTGGCTGCCTTCCCTGGAAAATGGGATAATAACTGCCCTCCTTGCTTACTCCGAAGGAAATAGTGGATATGAAAAGGCTTTCCAACATTTAAAGTGGTTTAGCAGTATCTTTCCTGTGCTTTTGAAAAAACATGGGGCTATCTCAAGCCCTCCTGTAGGTACACTCCTTATTCGGCCCATTTGTCAGGACCCGGCTGAATGGGCTGAAATCTTAAAGGCAACAGGGGTGGGGGTGGAAAGTTCCTCTCTGTTGATCCCAGTCCCAGGAGGGCCTGGATTTCATGCCTGTACCTGGTGCAGTGCTTCGCCAAGGAAGCCAATGGTTATAAGGTTGAGACCACAAAAGATAGGTCTTTATTGGGGGCCTCTTTGGGAAAACCTGAGACCCCAGTGCCCTGATCCATACAGAATGTTCCGCTGAGGTCTTTGGGGGCCCTGAAGGAATGTCAGGATTGCCTGGTCTCCTCTCCCTGCTGGTCATTGTCACCCGCAGCCCCAAAGTGAGCACTTGTCTCTCTCTCTCTGTCTCTCTTTCAGTCTGGGAGCCCTCCCCTCCCACCAGCCAGCCCCCACCACGGCCTCTCTCAGCCACACACCTGTCAGCCCTACTCCAGACACTCCTGCTGCTTCTCCCTCCTTTCTCGAGGAAAGGAACTCGGAGTCAGGCTTTCGAAGGCCACAGTGCCCACATGGCATCTTCCCAGGGCCCAGCACCGACACCTGGACCTTTTGGGTTCAGTCAACTTTCTGTCTCTAGGACTCAGACCCAAACAGCTGTGTTAATATCAAAGCCAGAAGGTGAGGGTTCCAGGGCCTTGGGGCAGCTTGTGGAAGGACTTTCCCCCCTTCTGGGCTCTGCAGGGCCCGGGAAGGGGAAACGTCCAGAGCCCTTGGAATGGCTCCGCTTCTTGACCTTGTGTGAGCGGGCGGCCCTGGGCTCCGAGGCCGTGGGCGTCACCCAGCCTGGCTTCTCCTTCAGCAGCCTGTCTCGGTCGGGCCGCACACTGCGCAAGAACTTCCTAAAGATGTTTGCCGTGAGGGCAAACCTGCGGCCCAGCTCCCGGGACGGGCCCTTCTCCCCTTTGGGTTCCCCTGCCTCTCCTTTCTCCCCACCCTTCTCCAGTTCTGGCAAGTCCAGCCAGTTGCCCACGAGGTCCGCAAAAACGTTGTCGCCTAGCACCAGAGGTTGGCGGTTGCGGCCCCGGGACATCAACGTGGAGGTCCAGTCTTCCGGTTCCACCGGCTCTCGCCCCGGCCGGGCCCCGCTTCGGTGCTCTGGTAGCTGTGCCCTGGCCAGGGGGTCCGGATCCCGCCCGCAGACACTCCTCTGGGATGTACACTTGGCGCCCAGAGGAGGTTGGTTGGAAGGGGAGCAGGCTGAAGGCCTGGCAGGTCCTCTGCCACCCTCCCATGGAGGGGGCTCGGGCTGCGTCCGGGGACTTTCCGCGCAGCCCCGGGCCGGACTCCCTCCGGAGATCTCCAGCTGTTCCAGTGCCGCCTGCACCTGGAGAAGCTTCAGTTCTTGCAGTGCCCCCATCATGCTGTTCATCTGATCCTGGAGGCCATCACCCACCTCCTTCATGGACATCTGCAGGCGAGAGGGAAAGCGCAGGCCCGTGAGCCGCGGGGACTGGAGGAAGGGCTGCCCTTCACCGGCTGGAACCTAGACCCCCCACTGCCCACACATGTACCGCCGCCCACTGACCCCACCTCCACGGGGTCCAGTGCAGAGCAGCTCAGAGCTAGGAGAGGAGGAATCTTAACGCGGACACGGCTGGAGAACAGAAGGATGAACGGCAGCGAACATGCTAAGGCAGACGCTGTCCTCAGCCACATATATGTGAATATAGATAACACATGGATCAGTTAAGCTGTCTTAAAGAAAAAATTTTTATTTGTTTATTTATTGACTTGAGAAAGAGGGAGAGCACAGAAGGAGTGGGAGAGGGAGAAGCAGACTACCCGCAGAGCAGGGCGCCCGATGCAGGGGCTCGATCCCAGGACCCCGGGATCATGACCTGAGCCGAAGGCAGATGCTTCACTGACTGAGCCACCCAGGCATCCCCAGCTGATCTGTCTTTAATCTCAGCAACCAGTCTGTGAGGTAGGGACTGGTCTTGTTGCCAAGTTACAGATGAGGAAGAGGAGGCACGGAAATTGCTCAAGGTCACCTGGACATAAGAGGTGGACCTGAGACCAGTTTAAGGGGGCACGCAGTCGTGGTGGCCATCCTTGTCCTTTCATGTACTGTGTCCTCTTCTCCCCGAGCCTCCCCGAGATGATGACAATGATGATGGCCACGATGGTTTGCGAGACTTTACTATGTAACAGGAATTGAGCTAAGTGTTCTAGGCCTGTCAACTCTTTGGATCTTCATATAAACCTGATGAGTTTGCTATTACTGCTCTCATTTTAACAAGTTAGCCCTTGGGCGGGGCGGGGTGTGTGTGTGTGTGGGGTGTGTGTGTGTGTGGGGTGTGTGTGTGTGTGTGTGTGTGTGTGAAGTAACCTGCCCAAGGTCATGCACGCCCAGCTCATGCTGCTGGGACTCAAACACAGGATGCCTCACTCCAAATGTTCTGACCCTAACTAAATGACCAAGCCTGCTTCAAGATGGTGGGGCTGGGGAGCTGGGCTTTGAGGCTACTCTGTCCTCCGAGAGGCAGTGGAGAAGGGTGGAAAGGGACATGAGGGCAAGAGAAGGAGCTCAGATTCCCGAAGATAAAGGGTAGGCTGGGGGCTTCCTTTCACTGCCATGCACATCTGGCCAGTCAGGAGAGAGAGCTAGCTTTCCACCGCTCTTCCCACCCCTTCTCTGCCCTCCAGACACCTGTCCTCCCTCAGCTGCTCTTAGACTTGGCTCCCGTGCTCTTCCTGCCTTCTCAGCCCAACTGGCTCCACGGCTCGGGCCAAGAGTGGGGACACCGGAGGCCAGCTCCCCTGTCCCTTTGTGGGCGTCTAAGGCCCGGGTCCCAGGTGCCAGCTGGAAGGGACTGAGAGGCTGACTTGGGTGAGGGCCGAGTTTGGAGGCTGGGCAGGGGATGCTTGGTCTGATAACATTCACAGTCCAAGCTGCCTTGGTCCCGCCAGCTCCCTCCCCAGATCTGCTCATGTTACCAACAGCAGACCTCGAGTGAGGGGACCATCTGTTTCTTAAGCCCCCCAGAGACCTGCTGGGATCATCTTACCTCCCAGCCTGGTCAGAATTAAGCCCACAGGGCAGAGAGCTGGAGGGATCGGGAGCGGAGGGGCAGAGGCGCTCAGGACAGCACTGGCAGCTGACCCTCTTAGGCTCTGGGTCAAGCCCTCCCCTGTCCACCTCAGCCCTGGCAGGGGCAGGGCACCACATCGGGCTCTCCTGAGCCAGTGGCACTGACGCCCGGAGGACTAACTGTCCCTGCTGGCAACCCTGGGATTTGCCGGATTGCCCTGGCGAGCTCTCTCCGTTCGAGTGGCAGCTACAGCAGCAAGAGATGCAGCCTGGGAGGTGGCTGTGCTTGCCAATGGCCCCTTGCTTTGACCTCTTTGACTTTCAGCCTCCTGGCCCCTTCTCCTTTTGGAGCATCTGGGAGGACCCAGGGCAGAATCCGAGCAGACCCTAAGCCTCAAACCAAACTCCTCCAGGTCTCTAACTGCAGACTGCTTCTCTGACTTCCCTTTTTCTGCCCTCTCCTTCATACCCTTTTCCTCCTCACCCCAACTGGGATGTCAGAGTCCGTTTTGGCTGTTCTACCCAGTGCCCCTATTCCTGTCCCCAGATGTCTCACATCTGCTTTTCTGTCTCCTGGAATGCAGAAGCCTCTTGGAAGGCCTTCTGGCCACCAGATCAGTCTTCCCAGCACGCTTCTGTGATCATGTCACTCAGAAGCGTCTCTCTGTCCCCCACACTGCTGTCAGAACCTTTTCAGGGACACAACTCAAATGCCCTTCCCTCGAGTGCTACTCCCCTCCCGGCCCTGGCATCCTCATATGTGTAAAGGCTCAGTTCTCGAAACATTCGTTGAGTATCTACCATCGAGGGCAGGGGTGGAGATCTACGCATGGTTAGGTCTCCCCAGAATCTTGCTAGCATCTTGCTGCTGCCATACACCCAGAAAACAGAGTACCCCTGAACGTCCCAAGTCATCTCTCCAGCCCTGCTGCCCTCAGGCAGTAACACACTCCACAGGGGGCAAGTCAGGGATGTGGTTCAGGGCTTCATTTAACCAACTGGCCAGGACTCTGAGCTTGCAGGCTTCCCTCCAGAAGGCTGGAATGCAGTCCAGGTCAGAGGCAGTGGGAGGAATGAAATGACCCCATTCAATCTCTTCCAGTATGGAAAAATCCCGAAGAAATAATGCTGACATTTTGTACGGTTTTCCAGTGAGAATAAATGTGTGCGTATGTATGAATTCGGGCCTGCCCATAAAACAGAGGCCCCATTTATATAAACAGGAGGTGAAATTTTACTCCTATGGAAAATCATACTCTGCACTGGTTAAAGTCTTGGGTTCCAGAGACAGATGGCACAGGGTTCAAATCCCAGCTCAGCCACATAGTAGAACCTGTGTGACCTGGGCAGGCTATTTAAATTGTTTTTCAGTTTCTCTGTTCTTCCACATGGGAATAAGAGTTTCTGCTTCATACAGCTCTGGTCAGATGAGGCAAGGTCACGGTGTTTACGTGTGGCCTGGAGGTGAGTTCTGGTGGTTATTGTAAGACTTCCTAAGAACGTCCAGAACACTTCTTCCTCAGTGGAGCTTAGCACGTAGTAATAATAGGACTCCATTCATCTACCCGGTCCAATCAAGGAGAAACACGTCTCTTGTCCTGTCTCTTCTGCCCCACCCCTGCCCCCTACAGAGGGAGTACCGGGGAAGGAAAGGGAAGCCCCACATCCTCTTGTCCATTCTCAGGACGGCTTGGTTGGCCAGCCACAGTGCTGACACTGAGGGCAGAAGGCAGCTGTGAGAGGGAAGACCAGAGGAGAAGGAAGTGTGGGAAGTGGGGAGGGTCAGGGGAAGTGGGGAGGCCGGAGCATCAGCTGGGTCTTGACTGAGAGAAAGCTGCCTTTCCCAGCCCCAAGGGGAATGATGTCACCCAGGGAGAAAGAGCCAGAGGGCAAGCTACTGTCTTCTTCTGGGGCGTGGGACCTTCTCAGATCCCAGGGTTTCTCTTGCCTCAGGAACACAAGAGGGAGCAGTGTGGGCTGGGAGCAAAGGAGAGGGGCCAAATCAGAGAAGGTCCCAAACTAGATATTATTGACACTAAATCCCAATCCACAGACTGCAGGGGCTGAGTTCCTCTCTGGCCTCCCAGTGCCAAAGCCTCAGGTCCTTCCTCAGGACAGGGACGCAATCCTGCCCAGCTTGCCCTTAGGGGCCAGTTGGAAAAGTCCTTAGAGGGTCTACTGGTTCTGGTTAGTCTGAGCAAGAGTGGATCTAGCAGCCTGCCCTCTGTCCACCCCTAGTCATGCTCGCTGACACGCACACATGCCAGAGCGGACCTGCTCCACCATCGGACATACTACCCCTAACAGCACATCCCAGAGACGCGTGGGGGTCTCCTTGCTGAGAAAGATCGTGAAGGTCTCACCACCCTCCTTGCAAGACCCCACACCCTCACCAGCCATCTCCTACCTCCTGACACTTCCTGGGCCTCAAAATGTTTCATCCTAAAAGTTTTCTTTCATTTATTCATTTGTCAGTGAGAGAGAGAGAGCGCGCGCATAAGCAAGGAGAGCAGCCGGCAGAAGGAGAAGCAGACTCCCCACTGAGCAAGGAGCCTGACTCGGATTCCCAGGACCCTGGAATCATGACCTAAGCCAAAGGCAGGCGCTTTAACCAACTAAGCCACCCAGGCCTCCCTTCAAAGTTTTCTTCACATCACACTTCAGTGTCTCCCGATGCTGTTCAATCTTTCTCTGTGTATGAGAGCTGGATGGCCCCTGGGCACCCCGCATGGGATCCTAGCTGCCTAACTCAGAGGAGTCCGGCCAGCCGTCAAGTGATAAGCTCTTTCCTCCCGCCTCGTCGGACTCCCAAAGTTACTCTGGCAGACTGGGGGACTACAGAGTGAGAAACGGGATCTGAGATTTCATTTTCTCCCCCGACGTCCTTCCCTAGACCGCCTTCACGGTTTTCACCAAATCCACGTAGGACCTCCTTCCCTACTTGATGGTGCATGTACGTCTGTTCGTCTAAATAAACTGTCTTTAGGCAGGAACTTAATGAAGTGCATATACTTGTCATAAACAGATGGTGACTATCTAAAACTACAAGGTTTTCATAGGAGCGTCGCGTAATGTCACCCAGAGGGCCTCTGGTGCAAAGGCGGATCTATGGCCCGGGGTCTGAGGTGTCTTCGTGGGAGGACTGGGACCCCAAGCCTGGCCCTCTTACTCCAGGCCAGTGGGCTCCTCGTGCCATCACGATGTGGCTTCTCAGCCCCATGGGGCTGTTGTGAGAAAAAACCAGGGTAGTCAACTCGACATGCAAAGCACAATTATCATCCCTTGGGGAGAAAGCGCACGAAGCCTTGGAGGGGCTCCAAGACTCAGTTCAGCTGCTTTCCCCTGACGGTACCTCTTCACTGAATCATCTGAAGGAA